TTCTATTCTTGCCTTATTTTATTTACTTGTTTTATTTCAGTATTGTATTCCGCTTCTATTTTATTACTTTTCTACTTTTCAGACACTACACTTGTTATGTTTCATCATTTTGTTATTTCTGAGGAGTGTCTCGCACAAGAATTTCCATCAGGATTAATGTCGGTTTTCCTTATCTCGTACTGTAATGTGGTTTGCATTGTTTATTTCTCGACCTAATAACCATCACTTCTGTGTGAGTTTTTTTTTTTTCAGATTGTAAAAGTGATAAATCCAACCCAAGATGGTAGAAACAGATTTTTATACCAGTTGTAACTTCAAACTTGTTACACCAAACAACCGTATTACTTCCCCCTCCACAGCGTCTTCTACCAAATCTCCCCCTTGCCACTATTTGCTTTTAATAAAACAAGCCAAGAAAAGAAACCAAACTGTAGAGCCTAAAATAACAGCACCCGCTCTCCCACTCATGTAAACTCATTGTTGACCACAAACTCTTTAATTGGTTCCTCTAAACTTTCCAGCGTTTGCATACATGTACAAGGACCAGAAATGGCAGAAAAGCTTGCCGTCAACGTGTCGTTGTTGACAAGGAAATTATAGCAACACAGTCAACAAATCAGCTGTGACCTCCAAGCTGCTACCCAGAGACCCATGAATATTTCCTCACTGTTAATCTCGCTGTTGAAGCCTTCGCACAGCCTTCCAAAATGCATTAGAGCAATTGTCTTTTTATTAGCCCGCTGTGAAATGGTCGCCTGTAGTCATGAGAGCAGCGAGCATTAAAAGCATGAACATCAGCACAATGTAATGCAATCCAACACAGCAGACGTGCAAGAGGCGCTGAGTGTTAGGTAACTGTGTACTTATTTAGTTTTTCATATTTTTGGTGAACTGTATATCTGTTGATGTGGGTTTTTTTCTACAAGTTTCTTTGCGAACGTCTTGCATGAGTCAATGTATTAAGCCGGTAATGTTGATTCTTCTTATTCTGACATACGTTGTGTTGTTGTGGAATTAGTCTGACTCACTGGATGTAGATTGTGGGTATAAATCTGCCACTGGCCACGCATTTAATGCAGCTTTTTTCTCCCTCCTCCCCCTCTGCTATCTGTGCGTTACCATTTTCAAAATCCTCTTCACTACAGGAAACAACAGCAGCAACCTCCAGGCAGCAACCTACACGCTGGAAATTTCAAGTTTTGCAGAGGATTCAGATTGCGCAGAAAGGAAGCCTCTCGAGTTTAATTTTATATTTTTTCTCTCCAGTGAATTAGTCATTTCAATGACACCGCTCGCCTCGGTGCATTCAAATGTTCAACCAATACAATCCTCCAACACTATTCTGAGAGGATGCCCTGTTTTTTTAACAATATGCAATCAAAACAGACTAAATAGGGCAGTAATTAACAGGAAACCAAACAGCAGTTAAAATCAGTTACTGTCAAAAGCAGAGTAGGTTGTCATGGGTTTCAAATCGACCCACGGGTACAATTGAGGAAAGTTTTAATGTTTGCTGTAAAATGTTTGTGGAGCACGCTGGGATTTCAAGCATTAGCCAATTGCTTAATGAGTTGATTAATGACAGTGGTTCTGTGTGATGGCATCTTGGCTTTCAGTGTCTTATAAAGAAACCAATGTCTGCCAGGTTTTACTGCTAGAGACAGCATAGGACAAGCAGTGGTGAGTATCTGTTGCTGTATCCTTCACTTAGCCTTGCCCGAAACAGTTCTGATTGGCTTAAAGAAAAACAAAGAAGCCAGCAGAAAGACTATGTGATGTAGTCAGACCATTCTCTGCTGCAGAATGGTCTGATTATCTCAGACTAATATGGAACTGATATCCTATTCCTGCATATATTGAACTACAATCTTTATCTGAGAGTTTATTTTTATAATCTAAAGTCAAGACTGATTAAAGGCTAAAATATTTTATGAGTTGCTTAAAAGTTATTTGAATGTGATTCAAGTCTTTCAGAAACAGACACTGACAACATTCAGCGGCGACGTGTTTGTTTGTCCACAGTTCCAGTGTTCCCAGTGGAGGCTTGGATGTAATATCAGACTCAAATCAACTCTATCAGCCAAGATCAAAAACATCAGGTGGGAAAAATATGAAATTAAACTGCTGTTTCATTCCTCTCCCTCCTGCTACGGTGCCACTAAGCACGGCGACCAGTGTGGTTGTACTGGACTGCTCCGTGGCGTAGAATGGGTTAATGCTGAAAAACTTCAAGCTCAGCAAAACCTCCTCCTGGATAAATTAACATCAGGAAAAGGTTGATTTGAACTTAAAGCTCCAGTGAGATGACTAGCAGGGTTGGATGAAGCAGGAAGCTTAAAAACACCACATCATTTACATCTTTATCATTTAAATATTTGCAGATTTAACGGAAATTTGCACCACTGGAGTGGAATATAAGCCATGAGATCCCTCTGTTTTGAGGATTGACTGAAAAATGATTATTATTCCCTGAAGCTCAAATGAAAACCTTCTTGTTCAGTTAATATGAAAGAAAAGCAGAAAACTAGGAAATAGTCATAACTAGGAAGCTGATTCATGACACTTTTGGGAGTATTTTTGCTTAAAAATGAACGAACTATCAGAATCTATGTGTTCTTTTAGCTGTGCAGCGCTGGTTGATCGTAGCTGTGCAACGGGGGGTCAGTTTCTTTCAAAGTTGGAGGTTTGACAAAACAATGAAATTTGATTTCCTCCGGGGAAATTAGGGCATTGACAGCTTAAAAGGCACATGCAAGGACAATAAATACCCATAAAATACAATCTGCAAACTGAACGGTATGTTGCCACGGGAACACACGTACTGTACCCACACATGCATCTCAATTGCCCTTTGCATTTTCTGCTTGCTAGCCAATCCATTTTCTCCTTCTCATCTCATTAATATCTGTCCACTTCCAATCCATTACTTCATTTGTCTTCCACTCTCGCCCTCCTCTCTCGTTCTCGACGGTAATAAAGCGAGTTGAAGCAGTTTCTCCGGCACTCCCCTCCCTTCCCCT